TACATCAGATTTTAATCAGATTGGGGTTGGTACTGCTGTTATGTTTCTTTAGTGCGCCATCACCGAGTGGCGAGTGGAACCCCACAGTCTCTACGTGAACTTTATCCGTATAAGCCATTATGTTATGACTGCTATTAAAAATAAACCGCCCATTATAAAAGTCGAAGTAGACTTATCTGGAAATCACATTTATTTGATCAGAAATTGAAAAACTAAAATAAAAATATAAGTATAAAAATAGAATTGCGACGTAAAAAAGGTGAATAACTGCGACCTTTTGGTGACCTTACCAAGGTAAGCGTCAAACGATTTTGAAGTATAAGTAGGGTCAAAGTTGAGGGTATGTTCGGTACTTGTTTTCTTATTTGAGACTTATTATTTACAGTTATTAAAACTATGAATGAAATTAATAGTAATTGCAATATTTAGACTAGAACTAAACAAAATTATAGCAGGTAATTTTTGCTGTTGTCATTGGACGACCTTCATGAACAATCCGAATGACGTCATTATTTACGCGCCCTGACAACGGTCGAAGGGTGAATGCCTGTATTTCAAATTATCGTGGTATTTGAGTCAAATTATGAAAGTATTTAAGTAATTTTTTATAAAAATAAATAATCTACCCAAATTTCTAAATTTAATGGTTTATTTTAAATGTTAATAATTCTACTTCCGTTGTTTTCTATCCTGTGGTGACGTGTATCTGACCTAATTCCATGTAATTTAGGTTTATTTTTAGCTCTTCGACCAATCAGGCGCTGCCTTCCCTTGCACAAACAGCTCTTTCTGCAGTGAGCCTCAAACGTATAAAAATGGACAAGCCATGCCGAAATACATCATTCTGCAGTTTGTATCTAGACAACACACACTTCAAGTCTACACCGAATATCTTCTGCAAAGCTCGCCAAGTTACACGTACACCGATACCTGAGACATCACCGTACTACCGGTTACTACTATACTTGGAAGTATTGTATACTACGTTGTTCACTGAAAATGGCAAGTGGTGACGAAAAAGCGATCGTTTGCGAGGGACACGATGAACATCACGACCACGGCGATGAACAACACGGCCACGGACCCAGAAATACACACCACGGTCACGGCGATGCACACCACGGCCAAGGCGATGCACACCACGGTCACGGCGATCAACATGGTCACGGCGATCCACATCACGGTATGGGCATGATGGGTCATGGTTCCTGCTTTCCGTACGGTGGTACACCATTTATGTACGGGTACTACGGTCCTTTCCATCATACTATGACAATGGTACATCATCCATTTGGTTTGATGTCTGATGTCGGGCATGGAAATCTCCACCGCGGTATGGGTATAACGGGACATCCACCATGCTGCGGTGATGACAAGAAGAAATCAACTGGCGATGGTGAAGAAGATCCCCATCACTCTGGACACGGAGACCCTCATCACAGTATGGGAATGATGGGACACGGCATGCATCCTGCTTTCATGATGCCTGGTGGTATGATGCACCCACCATTCATGATGGGACATCCACCTTGCTGTGGTGATGACAAGAAAAAGTCAACTGGCGATGGTGAAAAAGATCCGCATCACTCTGGACACGGAGACTCTCATCACGGTATGGGGATGATGGGACACGGCATGCATCCTGCTTTCATGATGCCTGGTGGGATGATGCACCCGCAATTCATGATGGGACATCCACCTTGCTGCGGTGATGACAGAAAAAATCAACTGGCGATGGTGAAGAA